GTTTCTTTGTGAAAGTTTAATTAATCTTATAACCGTGGTTCCCACACACACACACACACACACACACACACACATATATATATATATATATATATATATATATATATATATATATATATATATATATATATATATATATATATATCATTTGAAACTTTAACCATATTCATTCGAAACTTATAACTTCTCAATTTATCATCTTCATCTAATTACTACATATCAAAAGGCTTTCGAAAATTGTATTAAATTTTAATTTAATATTAAAACTCTTTAGTTTTCAACTAATTAACTATTATAACTCAAGAGTTTATATAACTTATGGTATATGAATTGGTTGATTTGGAATGTATATATTTAGTTTATGAATGTAAGTTAGATGGTTAGAATTTAAAGAATAAGATTAAGAAAAAAACGCTAAAAAGACATAAATTTTAGTTTATGGGATAAAACATGAGCAATAATATAGTTGTTTAATAGGCATTTTCATCAAATAAATTATTATGTCTTTTGGTTCTATTTCTTTCTTTATGTTAAACTTCTTTGTTTTTTATATATATTTTTTCTATTATTAGAGTTTATGTTTTTGGTTCTCATTTTAATTCTTTAATTTCTAATTGAAACTTATTGTTTGTTGTTTGTCTATCATTAAAGTTTATTTTTTTGTTTGTCATCTCTAAATATTATTAAAAAAGAAACATTATGACATCATCTAAAATAATCTGGACCGTTGATTGTGTTTTTTTTATATGTTTTACACCCTTAGATCAATTTGCTTACGTCACCTTGATCAAACAAGAAGTCAATCCGTTATATTAGGAAATGAAATGTAGGAATTGAATTAAAATGATACTTGAATTCTTTCCAAACTTATAACTACAAAATTGGTTCATTATTAATGTAAACCTTAAATTTAGGCTATATTTTCATTCAAAATTGCTTTCCAAATATATTATATGTTGAAATCTCGGAAAGTGTTAATTTCAAATTTCAAAATATTTTGATATTATTATGAACCAATACACTTTCAAGCATGATATCTTCTATTTTAAGTTTAAATGAGATTTCAATTGATTACCTGCTAACTTTCATCATATTGACTTGTATATATATTTCAAACATTTTTAATAATCGATTTACACAAACATTATGTCATAATTCCCACGTAGAAAACAAATGCAAAAAAACTTCAACCTTCCCATCAGTCTGATTAGTCGAATAAATGTATGAATTTCTTCCTTAAATCCTTTTAATCTGTAAGTTTGATATTGTTTTCGAAATTATATATTTTTACTCATTTGTATGGTTCTTTGTTGAATACTTATAATTTGGATGTATAATGTTGTTTTTGAAAAAAAAAAATTGATGTTGTGTTCGGTTCTTGGTTCCATCTTTTTAATCCTATTTTTAAAAACAGTAAACTCAATGTAAAAATTGGATGTTATATATAATGAAATTATGATGTTACATGTGTGTATACCTTTGTAAAAAATCATTAGACAAGACAAGAGATGACATGACATAATATAACATACGGGTTGTACAAAAGACATGAACGCCCTCATTAGAAAGTTTTTTTTATGTCTCCGGTAGTAACAGAATAAGAATAAGAAATATACCTTCTCAACAATTGAGCTTCATCACTTCTGCCCCTAATTTGCTCTTTGCTTTATAGTAAGGAATGTTCTTTACTACCACTAGATCATTTCTTGCACGTTCATGATCCATTGATATAATCCCTGTTGTATTTCAAATTCAATAACAAAATTGTAATTAATTAATTTCTCATTGAAGTTAATAAATTATAAATTTATCTCACTTCCTGCTCATCCAAGTTTTCTCATTGCTATAGCATCACGAAGTTGATCATATCACATATTTTTCTAAATAAGAAACACTAATATCAACAAAAGAAGCTATTTAATTTCGTAATGAAGTTGAATTAAAAAATAAGTAAATAAATAAATAAGAAATAGAAGAACCTTGTATTACCACCATATTTTATGTTTGACTTCATTATCATATTTAAATCCTCCCACAATTTGAGGCATTGTGATTAACCAAAATGCAACAATGTTTGGATCTTTCATGCTATCAATAATGTGCTAAAACACAAAAGCAGATATTTTGAAGTGAGATAATTGTTACAAGAGGAAAAGGGGTAGTATCGTAATTGGCATTTACCTCATAAGGGTTTTTTGTTTTTTTCATTATGTTGTAAGCTTTGCATAGAGGCTCGATAATTTGCAAAGTAAATAAAACTAAAGGGGTGTTTCTTTTTTCCTTCATTAAACTCTATAGTGAATGACTATATGGATAAAGTGTTCTATACATAAAGATTGTAGATAAAGATAGAAAATAAAATGTAATGGATTATGAGAAATCACAAAAAATAAGAACCAAACCCAGGAACCAACATGGAACAAAAGCCCTATTTTCTTTACTTCAAAAAAATCAACGTACCTACACATACTCAAAACCATAGAACGAATTTCACAAAAAAAAAAATGTTATTTCATAAAAAAAAAAAAAAAGGAGCCTGAAAAAAAGATGGTGGTAAACCGAAGAAAAATTATCAAAATCAACCAAAAAACGAAGATATAAACATAAATGATGGACATGATAAATGATTTCTGTCATATTATCCCTAAAATAAAAAAAATAAAAAAAGAAGTCATCAATGAATCTTAACATTGTCAATGATAGTGACAATAACTTAGATTAAGGAAAAAAAAAAGATCTGATATTAGAGATGAAGTGGAGGGAGATGATTAGCTTCATTGTAGATTTATTGGTTATAGTTTTTTTATATTTAATACTAGGTGTAAAATCCGTTTATCACACGGGTTAATTACAGAAAAATAAAATATTAAAATGTAAATAGTAAGTATGTTTTAGAATAAAATTTTGAAATAAAGAATTAAACATATTAATTGCAAATTATTGTAATATTTAGTACATTTGATACTTTACATATATAAGTATAAGATTATGTGGCTTTTAGTTTTAAAAATTAAAAAAAATAAAAATAAAAAATAAAAATAAAAATAAAAAAAAACCATAAAATGACATGTGGATATTATTTATTTAAAAAATATCATAAACTGATAAGTGTCAAAACTCATTAGAGATTGACAAGTGGGAAAATTATTTTTATTTATTATAGTAGATTGTGGGGGGTTTTATGTGGTTCATTTTGAAGGAACATAAATAAGTTGCTATTTTTTGAAATAGACCGTTATATTTCGTAATATAGCCATAAAATAACAATGTATTTTGAAAGTACATTGTTAAATGTTGGATTATACTTGTGTAGACCCATTTTCACGCATGGTTGGCTATATATAGTTGTTTTCCATGTCACAAGTAAAAAATGTTTGAAGGTATTTATATGTGACAAGCGAGATCATTGAACTAATAAAATAAAAAAATGTTGTCTATAAAGAGGTCCTTCAACGCTATATATATTTACCTATTTTAGTGTAATTTCTACACATGTCAATAATACCAATAACCCTACTTTTTTGTTTTTATAATTATTTTGTAATATCTATATAAATTTGCATTTTATTTATATGTTCCCCGCGGGTCATAATCTAGTTTTAATATAGTTTCTAAAGTTATATATATATATATATATATATATATATATATATATATATATATATATATATATGTGTGTGTGTGTGTGTGTGTGTGTTCAAAGTTAGGAATAGTTAACATGTATGCTTTTTGTCAATTTTGCAATTTATTCTTTAATCATTTTGACATCTTTGGTCCTTGCAATAAAAATTTTTATATTTTTTAGTGACCTTTTAATATTCAAAGTTTTGACCACAAAATTTTAAGGAATTGACAACTTTGATCACTTTTCTAAAAACTTACCTCTTTAATTCTTTAGCAATTTTGACACTTTTGGTTCTTACAGACTAAACTTTTATTTTTTTTTTCATAAAAAACACAAAAAACGATCCAGGCAAAGTCCGGATTTGTCCTCATATTTAATTTTTTTGTTTTTTCTCATCCCTTGCTGTCTGTCATTTTCTTCTTTTGGTATATTTTTTATATATTGGTCTGTATATTTATTTATTTTTGTTTTTTCCCGCCTCTATCTATCCGTTCCGGTCTATGAAAATTAGGGGTTGAATTATCCCACATGCATCTTTTAGCAAAAACGACACTCAAATCAGACGCACACGTCCCATACGGTACATGGGCAACATATATAGTTTCCAATTGAAACTTATCTTTTGTTGTTTTATAATTTATCAATAAAACTAACATTCAAAATAAGAAAAATGTTTGCTAGTAAATGATGAGTAACATTAATAACATATAAGAAATAACTAAGGAAGAAACAACTTGATGCAATTATTAGTATAAATAATATTAACTCTAAATTAATAACAAGGATATAAAATTTTCTAATACCATATATATCAATAATATAATTATATTATTGTAATCAATGGATTAAATTTATCATAATTTTAACCATCATAGTTTTATTTCTACACAATAGATTTTCGCCTAATTCAATTATAATATTAGACAAATAGCAAGAAGGTCGTTGTCTTAGACTTCAAATAAGTCACTTTTTTGCATTAAAACTCCAAGACTTGGCTAACTTACTAAACTCTTTTTTTGCTTGTTAATGCTTCCCACCAATTTTTTAGTAAAGTCATGACAATTGTTTTATGTGTGAGATGTTTATGTTGCATTTTCTTCACCAAATTGTTCACATTTTTCATCAATACAAAACAAATCAAATCCAACGACACAAATCGCACCAAAAAAAAAAAAAAAAAACATCCCCTTCATCCTTGTTGACCACCATATCATAAAACAATTAAAAGGTTACAATTTTCAATTAGTAATTCACCAAATTGCAAAGAACAACAAGTCATGAGTCATCCTATTAATTTGAGCTAAAATCTCTACAAACTGAGATCTTTATTTTCGGTCTAACACAAGGAACAAAAAGTACATTTTTGAGGGCCTACTTTGTTGTTGTATAGACTATAAAGGGTAAACATAAGCAAATGACCTAACCATTTTAACTTTTTTTTTTTTTTTTTTTTTTCAAAAATGTAATCTCTATGAATTTTCTTTTTTATATCATTGGATTTAAACCCGAAAAGGCAATCAATACAGTGTACCTATTTTAAATTTACATCACCTTTAATTTTGTACTTAGCAACCAAACTCCCATTTCAAAACCCTGGTTCTTGCTTCATATACATCCCACCTGATCCCTCAAACATCATTGTCTGAAAATATCAACAAACATAATTTCTTTTTATATTTTCTTTTTTTACAATTTTACTTGTTGTTTTTATAACTTATAACTCAAACTTCATTACCTGACTTGATGTTGGTAAAATACTATGAGCAAGATCTTCGTTTAGTGATACAGGGAATGGTGGCCCAGGCATATACCTCATACTGCATTTTGTTTTTTTTTTTTAATAAAAATAATCGCCAAATTAACATAAATAAAGTGAATGAACACATACATGAAAAAGAAAAAAAAAAAAAAAAAAGAATTATTGTCATACTTGTTTAATATGGTGGTTATATTATTCTTCATGTGGTTGAAAAGGTCGATATTGTCCTGCAGCTACTCATGAAATAAGTGATGTATAAATATAAAGAATTAATTTTTTTTCCTCGGATAAAAAAGTGTTTGTAGAATAAATTAGAATAAATGAGGGAAAATCTGTAAAAAGAAACACCAATATAATTATATATATTGAGATGTTTGGAAAAGTTAGAAGAAATGCTTACTTTCATTGAGGAAATATTAGCTGAAATCTGACCAATAACTTGGTTATTTTGTTCTAGTAAATTCCTTATTGAGCCACTTAATGCTGCATCAATTAGTAAATAAAAGTAATGTAAATATTATGAAGGATAATTTTCAGCTATGAACTATATTTATTTATCTATACCTTCAAAAGTAATATTGTCAATCTGGACATGATTATTCAATGTAACAGAAAATGGAGCCACATTTAATGTTGGAACTGATGATATACTTGGCTTTGTAGATGATTCCACCAAAGTATCCTAAAAACATATCATAATCAGAAATCAGAAATCAGAATGTTTTTTTTTTTATACTAAAAGATATTTTTATAAAAAATGTATGGTTGCATTTGCATAAGTATTACTGTATACCTTCTTATCTTTCAACTTTTTCCCCATATTTAGTCCCTCCTGTTTCCTTCGTTTCCTCTGCCAATTATATATAATCTTGTTAGCATTTTAAAAGTGTAAAAAGATTAATTTTTAATCAATGAAAGCCAATAAAGATTTATTGAGTAAATAAAAAAAACTCACAGCCATCCACCTACACCTCAGGGCAACATCACGAACAGTTTTATCACGCAATGTAGCAGCAATCTTGATGTACCTCATGATGCTAGGTTCATCAGCAAATCTACAAATAATGTACAAGATCATATTCATATGATCGAAAAGAAGAAAGAAAAGGGAGAAAAGAAATGGGGGTTTGAAAGAAAATTAGGAATGATTAATGAAAAACACTTACTGGGAAAGCCCTTCGTCTAACTTATGTTGTTCTTCAGAAGACCATTCGACAGCCAAGCCTGCATCGTGTTTTAACCCTGGAATGGAATCAGCGAGAACAGAACCAGAGGAATTCGGATTCCCAGCTTTTGTAAACCCTGAACTGCTGTTTGCTATATCACAATTTGAAAACCTTGTGCCTAGTGTTGATGTACTGTTCATTGGATAGTAATCACCCATCATCATCATCTCCGATGTGCTGGCTACTGCACTTGTTTGGAAGGATATGGCATGTCGATTCAGACCAGAGCTCAAGGTTCTATCGTAGTGAAAACCAGTATCCATGGCGCAATAACACTAACCGGTCATTAAAGCCTCTAATATTCTTTGGTTGTTGCTTGAAGATTCTATAGATAAGAAGGTATCGATCGAGAAAAGAATATTGAAGTTGCGTCGAGTTATGAATCCGTATACCCCAAATTAAAACCCTAGATTCCTTGATCGATATCAAAAACCCATAATAATCAGATCAAAGACTTGTTTTTGATATCATAAACACCAATAATCAAATATAACCGCCAAATCGATGCATAAAAATACCTTATCAAACCCCAGTCGAACAAATTACAGCATACCCGCAACGAATCTTCATCTCTTTCGTTATTATCTACAGATTTCGGAAATCAAACCTTCAAATCACCTCATCATTTCATGGTAAAAAAAAACGCGGGACTGGCAATGACGAACAAGGAGGAAGTATGCACCCAAAAATCGATAAAGCTGTGGGTAAATTGATAGTAAAAGAAAGGGGTTTCCTAATGTATAAACTTTTTGACAAAGTTGGGTGCTTCTGTTGCCTTTTTCGCTCATCACTCACTAAACACACATTTCTGTTGATTACTTTTCCTTTTTGTTGCTTAGCGCGCACTCATACAACGATACAGCAACAAAACCCTCTTCCATTTCTCTTTGTATATGTCTAAGACTCTGATGTTAGTGGTTGAAATTTGAAAGAAGGGGGTTGTATCATGTATGTATACTAATCTAATACAATATTGGAGCTCTAGCCAATGGGGATTCAGGAAGACAGTTGCATTTGTGTAATGAATAATTTAGGTTTAGCTTTTTGTAAACTTTTTTGGTTGTGCAGATCTTGGAATTCAGCAATAGTGCGAATCCCAATAAGCATTTGATGCCAATAATTGTCACCATTCCATTTCCACCCAATGATGACGATGGTCTTCTCACCAAATGTTCACTCGTAATAATTTTGTAGCCGTTTGAAGACAAATGAATTGTTTTCCGAATTGTTGGAAGGTTGAAGTGCATTTTGAATGTTTCTGGAAATACAAAATTGAAATGATGCGTGATCAAAATAATGTCATTTTATTTGATAAATTTGATAAATGTGTAATTTGGTTATGACAAATAAGACTAGACTATGGGTAAGAAAAATATTGATTGTTCAATCATAGTCAAAACGGTTAGTGCTCAAAGGTGATTAATTATTATTATTAACTAAAAGGTTGTTGGGTTACTTTTTATAAAAGATATTAAAAAGATATGTAAATATTTGTTTATTAAAAAAATACGTTTCTTTTTGCACGACATAGCTTGATACCATTTATTCTGTTATGTATTTTTAATATGGCTTTTTAATTGAATTGTTTGTTGATAAATTTATTGTGTACATCTATGGTACACTTTAGTTATATATAACTATTGAATAATAATATTTTTGTCAAATATTAAAAAAAATGTAAACATAAAGGCAAATAATATGTATGGGCTTATTTGAATTACTTGATCGGAAAATTTTAAGGTTTATTATGTGAAACTCATCATAAATAAATAAAAAAATCATGGATTCTCTATTATTGATAAAGTCTCTTATACGATTATCATTGATAAAGTGGACAATAGGGGAAGTATTATAGATTAAAAAAAATATATATATAGTTAGCTATATCGAAGTCATGAGGTTAGGACATTTCACTCGACGGAGAACAATTCCACTCGACCAAGTAAAACTTTGCTTATATTTACATAAACGTTTATTTTTATTATTCTTTTCCACTTTCATACCTCCATTATTTTCTGTAAGTTTATGAATGATGGAAAATGAGTATTTTAGGTTTATAAACTGTAGTTTAATTATCTAGAAAGTAATTAACAATTAATACATAATTTATTTGATCTTTAGGTGACTAATAGACAACCAAACGACACTAGAAGTGAAGTAGTGTACATGCAACAATTGATGTAAGTAAACATGTCTTTGTTACATATTTGCATTTTGAAACTTTCTTTGATTTGAATTGTTATGTGCATTTACTACTCGAGATACTATATGTTATGGATGTACCTTCTAACCTTCATGGAATGTTTTTGTAAAGAGTTTTTGAAAATAGGAACAAACTATTTTGTTTGGAAATGAGATTTTGACTATGAATTTGTGCATCCACAAACTATTTAAAATGTACATCTCGTATACAACTGTTTCTCTTTTATATAAATTTTAAACAAAAATCCTGACTTTTAAAGAGTTTAATAATTTATTTTTTTATAAAGCTTAAACAGAAAGATTGACTTTTAAAAGTTGAATATTGTTTATGTGAATTTTAAGGTAATAACGAATCGAATATGTGTTGTCAAACATAAAATAATGAATAATGGCCAGTATCAATGATTAGTGGGAAATGTTTTGCATAATTATCTATTTAGCGACTACTTATCATGACAAAATATGAATGATTAGAGGAACTATTTGTGTCCCATCTATTCGGTAGGTTAAACACAATTTTCCATTGATCCTTTTATTTCGATAATCAGAAAATTGGTAAACTATAAAACTGTCATTCTTATATAACGCCCGATTATGGCTATTATGATTTATGTACGAAGTAAATCATGGAACATAAATGATCAAGGGTGTTTGAGGTCTCTATTATAGAATTTCATGTTCATAATACATCTTGAAGATGTTTGGATGCGTGTCTTAAAAGTGATTACATGACATAGTATAATTATATTCAAATAATTAACTCCAATACTTGTATATCTAATAGTATTATGTAATCTATTCAGGTAAACGGCAAGGATGTGTGTGAAGAAGAAGAAGAAGAAGAAGAAGAAGAAGAAGAAGAAGAAGAAGGGTTCTACCATCATCTTCTAGAATTGAAATTCTCTTTTGATTGAGGAGAAAGATTGACGATGAGAACAAGCAACCTTTTTTTATTGTAGTGAATACACGGATGAAACCATTTCAAAGAAGGATTATTGATTACATTTGTCATCAAGGTTTTGACTTCGTCGCCATTTAGTTTTTTAAGTTGTGTTAAGTTACACCTTAATTTTTTTTTTCAAATGTATTGATTTAGTTACTGGTTATTTCAAATTCCTGGGTTACCTATACTTCAAAACGGAGTAAATTAAACCTTAAATTTCAAAACATGCTAATTAGACCCTAAAGTTCAAAACATACTAGATTATATCCTAAAGTTCAAAACATGTTAAATTAGATATTTAATTTTGTTATTATCATTATTGAGGTTAATTGTATAAAAACCTTACATTTTATGATTTTTTGTTTAAACCTAAACTTTTTTTTTATTTCAAATAAAACCTAACATTTTCCTTTTTCTATTTGGCTCTTTTAGTGGGTTTCCCAATAATATTTCGATTTTCGATAATATGTTTTGGAAATACTCTCAGCTTTTTTTTTTTTTGAAAAAGCTTTTACATTTGACAAACTTTTTCGCTTTGACCCATACATCCTCTATTTTCTTGTTGTGGTTTATGGTATTTGTAATAGTCTTTAACATTAAATATATATATAAACATTTTATTTTTTTCAAAAAAAAGATAAAGGATGTTGTGTCCAATTTTTATCGGCAAAATGCTTATCAAAATCTATTTCGGTGATGCTTAAAGATTATAAACATGTAAATAACAACAATCTAAGTTAGCTCATCATAGATTGTTTTCAGAATCAAGCAAAAATGATAGGTTTCGAACTTCAATATATGTGACATCTCGGAATTTAGGTCTAAATCAGTAGATAGTCAATATACAGTGAACCACATTGTAGTAGGACCTACGTTGTAACATCTTGTTTTCTGTCGTTTCTTATTTCAGGTCTGTGGGCCGGAAGTTGATTGTGTAAAGGTTTTGGGCCTTAAGGAGGCAAAGTTTAGTCCTTGTGGAAGGAGATAATGATGGTTAAGAGATTTAACCCTTGAGTTGTGTTTTAGGTTGAATGGTAGAAAGGGAAAAGTCGTAGGTCGGGTTCTTGCATGAAATATGGATTTTTGTTCGAGAAATTTTTAATCCAAGATAGTTAGATAATATTGAGTGGCTCTTCAATATCTTTCAGTGGATATAAAGATCGTCGAAAATGGAGTTGGAACAAAGAAATTATGATTGATAAAAGTTAGGAGTGTTTTGGGTTTAGCTTAGTACATTGGACGTACATGGTGTATGTTGGGTGTACTAGGAAATGATGATTGTGGAGATTCAACCTGGTACGTTGGGCGTACCAGGAGTTTAAGTCCTGGCTCGGGAAGTGCTTCGCTATGAAGGACCTCGGAGAGGCTTCCTATATTTTGGGAATAAGGATAGTAAGAGAGAGAAGTAAGAGACTAATAGGACTTAGTCAGAACACTTACTTAGAGAAGGTACTAAAACGTTTTAGTATGGAAAACTCGAAGAAGGGAGAATTACCGATACAAAGCAATGTCAAGTTGAGTAAGACTCAAAGTCCGAGCTGAATTGATTTGACTTATGTGTCGGGCCCGGTCAGAACTGAATTGATGTGTTCGATTAATTTCTATGTCAAATAAATCGGATATCGAGAAACCAAATGCTAGACTAACTATTCCATAGTATTGTTAGCATGATATCTAACAGAGGACTGTATGATCCCTTATCTAAAGGACAAAATTGATTAGATCAGAGTTTGACAGCATCTTTGAGAGCTACGATTGCAAATCGGAATGTACCTGCGCATATAGTTACTAGACTTATCCAAGTGGGAGACTGTTGGAATAGTGTCTAAGGCTGCAACTATATTAGGCAAGTATTTGACCCGATTGTGCATGGTCCTTTTGGGTTGCCTTCACCATAGCAACTTGGTAGGATGATTTATTATGAGAGAATAGATATTATTAATATATTATGAGAATAATATAAGGAATAATAATATAGTTATTTGATTAATATAAGTCATAGATTAATTAGTATTAATTTGGTGACTTAAGGAGATTAATTAAATAAGAGGGTATAAACTGTCAATTGCTTGATAGTTAAACTTTAGACTGTAAATCCATATTGATATGCATTGGACGGATTCTAGAAGCTAAGGATTGCTTCAAATCATCCAAGGGGTTATCTAAGGAATGGATTTGGATTGCTTTGAATAATAGTTATCCAACTAGGGTTTGAGTTGTAACCCTTAAGGAGTCTACAAGTATAAATAGACCCTATGGCTGAGAGAATTCGACACAACATCTAAGGTAGAGAACCTCTGTCCGAATTCCTCCCCTCTCCTCTCTCTCAAATCATCCTCTTTGCTAGTTGGTGTTTGTAAGCCATTAGAGGAGTGATAATTGTGACTCTAAAGCTCCAAGAACAAAAAGATCAAACAAGTGTCTCAAGGTATGATTCTAACTCTGGTTATGTGTTGTTCTTACACCTAATTAGTCATTATAAGTCTTGGATTCAAAGCATGTTTAATATAGAAACCTAGATCCGAGCATTAGGGTTTGTATGCGCACTTAGGAATGTTCTTATGTACAAAACCCATCAGTTAGTTGGTAGCAGGATAGTTGTAAGTCCCAAAACTGGGATCTTCTTAAGGTATCAATGCAATTGTTTGAGTTAATGCAGAAACTTAATCAAACAACTATGCGAAACAAACAATTAGAAGAATCAATGAACACGTTTCAATGAATGCACACAATTCTATTGGTCAATTGTCAAGTACATTCAATCTTACTTTTAGCCGTGAGTTTCTAGTATCTCCCAAAAATGCATTTACCTAGAATAGCTATACACAGACCGTATTTATACTAAACCAATAACCTAAAACCCAAACATAACAAGCACACTGAAAACACTAAGCCCGCCGAAATCACTAAGAGATTTCGGTCCATAACCGAGAACCGTATAAAACATAAAAAACAAAGCATAAACCACAAAATATAGCCCAACAATCTCCCCCTTGGTTTATTGATTTTAGTTCTCTTCAAGGCTTCTCCACGAGATGCACGTCTGCCTGATCAAATGCCCCAGCCCACAACTCTTGTCAATTATTATAGCAACCATTCCGGTGAAGGCTTTTGCAGCAGCTTCAAACCATTCATTCTCAAAAATTATTTAAAAGTTCGACAAAGTTCGGATATCATGTTCAAAAAACTTCAATAAGTCTTTGGGATCAACAATGTGATACTAGTTTTTCTTCAGCTTAATCACCAATGACACAGTAGCATCATCATAAACCTAGAATTGCATCACCACTGACGCAGTAGCATCATCATAAACCATTCCAAGTCACCCTAAAAAAACATCTCAGGGTGATCACCTGGAGCATTTTAGTCTGAATGCTTCATCACTAGCATCTTCCCTTTCAATTTCTCAATCATGATTTGCTTCTTTCTTCTTTCTTGAGCAGAAGCAGGACTAGAAGATAAAAATGTGTCAAGATTAGCATTCGAAGCAGGTCTAACAACTCTTTCACTTATAGATTGAGAAATTGGATTGGCTATACCAGAACTAGAAGCATTGTTTCATGTCAAATAATAAAGCAGTTAGACCACCAAGATTTGCTTGAAGTTCTGAAATCTTTGCATCTTTAACGAAGTTCTCCTTTTCAAGATCACTGATTCAAATGTCCTTCTTTCCAATAATCAAATCCTTTTCAGTTGAGCTCTATTCCAAATCAAAAACTTTGTTTTGAAGCAGAGCGACATCCATAAATTTAGACTCATGCAACTTGCTTTTGCCTTTTGAAATATCTAACTCGGGGGCTTTAAAGGAGATTCCATAAGCTTGAGCCCCTTCTGAAGGTAATAATTCTTGTTCAACAATAGCGCTTTCAAAATCCTGATCCATGGGAGTGGATTCAGGTAACGGGCTAGAAATCTCTTGCATCACTAGAGAGGACTCACTGAATGTGCTTTTAATGTTTTGGGCCACAAAATTAGGCTCAATCGGAGTAGATACGATGATTAAGGGTTGTTTGTCGGGATTTGAATTTTTAAGAGGTCTAAATTTCTAAGATCTGAATTTAAACATGTTGTTTGGTTGGAACCTCTGAATTGTTGTGCTGAATAAGAAAAATGATCATTTACCTTTCTCTATCATTTCTTTCAATTACAACATTATACTTTCAAGTGTGTACGATGGAGAGAAGAGGTCAAGGCGAAGGTGTGTGCGTGAATAGAATAAGTAGATGGGCAAGCGTGTCTTTTTTCAATTCAGACTCCTTCCCACATCTTATTTGGTCATAAGTGTATTTCAGTTTTAGATGTAAAAAACAATATATATATATATATATATATATATATATATATATATATATATACACACACACACACACACACACACATTGTTGTAAAACTCGCCGAGTTGGCCGATTACTCCTCCGAGTACTCGCTACTCGGCCCCTTACCGAGGCGAGTTACAGAATCCCAAGTACTCCCAGATTAGTCCTTACTGAACTGAACAATGTTGTAAAACTCGGTCATCTCGGTGATTAATATGTATACGATACTTAGCTATTTATTATTTAACACGCATGTGATTATTACTATATATATATATATATATATATATATATATATATATATATATATATATATATATATATATATATAATTTTACTAATTATTCATGAAGTGAGACCATTATGTGTTTTTCAGATTTTGTGTATTCACATGTATATAGTTTTGTTATATATTTCAATCAACTTATGATTTTAACTTATGATTTTGACATATACAAGTTCCCTATAAATATTTCTACATGAATTACCGAATCCGAATACTCCCCGTGTACTCCTGAGTACTCGTTACTCGGTAGTCGGTCGAACAGGTACCGAGTAACGAGTTCTACAACCTTGTATATATATATATATATATATATATATATATATATATATATATATATATATATATATATATATATATAATACTATATTATAAAAGATGTATTTTTTCTTTCATCACATGTATTTAAAACTCCCATGACTTTTCATTTTCTTTGTAATAATGATTATAAATTTGGTTAATATTGTTAAATAAATGCAACACATACATTGTAATCCTAAAATAATTAAACATCAATATTAAAATAGCATCTTTTACTTCTACTTATAAAATTGTGTATTTAATTTTTAACATATTAAACTTAACTTATTAGTTTGGATATGTTTTTGTATGTAAATAATTATTATTTTAAAGTCACAACTTTTAAATAATCTGCATAAAATACTTGAATTGTTAATTTAACTATAACGTTAAAAGGTTAACTTAAATTGAAATGTCAATTAAACTTAAAAGAAAATCCATAGATTATTTTGTAAATTTCCAAAAGTTATAAAATACAAAACCTAAATTGTAATCCCAAATTAAATAAAAATATTTTTTATAATTATTTTTATAATTATTAAGTGTTTCCAAATAAATAGTTTATAATAACTTACAACAACAAACTTAAAGTAATACTATATAAAAAAATATTATATTATTTCTTTTAAAAAACAATGTTTGATGTTTTAAATAATTACAATGATAGAAATTCAAATGTTAAGCAAGTAACTTTTTTAAAAATCATTAATCACAACAAATACTATAAATAACATTAAATTATATATTTTATTTAATTTTATTCATGAATAACTTGTAAGTATATGACATTGAGACAATTGAAATTATATTGTCATATCGATCGTATTATATAATTTAAAATAATCAATATTTTATATCAACTTAGTATAAGAATTATTATATCAAAGTTAACGTTATTTTTATATTTAAAAAATATAGATTTGTAAATATTTCAAATATATAGTTGTTATCTGTGCAAAGCGTGAGTAAGCGTTTAGTGAGAGATAAACAAACGCTCTAAAAGAGACAGATTCAAAGCTCGCAAAGCGTGAGTATGCATCTAGTGAGAGATAAACAAACGCTCTGAAAGAGACAGATTCAAAGCTCGCAAAGCGTGGTATGCGTTTAGTGAGAGATAAACAAACGCTCTGAAAGAGAAAGATTCAAATATGCATCTTATTAAAAGGCAATAAGAAGTAAACAAACAACAAATAAATAAGGTCACTAACTTGTTTCACAAACAAAAAAAAATAATAAAATACGATTAACGGATTAAATGTGTATCAAATGTTAGTTTTTTAGTGGTTTTTTCGATTAAAAATTGTTGTGAAGTTAACAAGAGTCTTATTAAGAAAACGCAAAATCGTTACTACATTTTTTTCTTGGTACTGAGGAAGGGGGCTGGTTTTTATCTTGTTATCGACCTTCGACCACCACCGAAACAACACCGGAGCTCAGATTCTCAGAAGGTGTCTTCCACATTCTCAAATGGCGATTACTGCAACTGCTACTTCATCCCTCTTCAACTTCAACTGCTCCCTCTCTCCTCCACCATCACTAAGCTGTCGTCCAATTCTCTCTTCTCTTCCCCACCACCATCTCCGCCTATCCCTCGCCAGAAAATTCGGTTTTTCCACTACTCTACCCTGCGAAAAACCCTTCATCTCAAAACCTTCGGTGTGCTCCTCGTCCCCTGGACAATCTCAGCCGATGGTTCCTCCTTACAATATCTTAATCACCGGTTCCACTAAAGGTTCAAGTTTCGTTCTCTCTGTTCCTATTGTTTGCCCTCTGGAAATAAATCATTTTAGTCGGTTAGGTTTTCGGATGTGAATTGCAGAGATTTCTGATCCATTTCTATACTTTGTTCACTGATTTGATGCAAATTTGTCCAAAATTATGAAATGGGATATCCTAAAATGTGCGTTTAGGAGTCTTTATTGTTGTGTATTGTAAACAATAAATGGAAATTGTTTCGATTGCTTTGTTCATAGACTTTGGTACCCAACTACAAACGAATATGTGATCCTGAAAGGGTGTGACTTTGTGATGTAAGTGTGATATTATTGATAAACAAAAGTGGAAGCAACTTAAATTTGTCTAAGCTAGTTTTTCTATGGATCATTCAAGGTGGTTCTACCACTTCATGTTCATTAGTCATTAGTCATTAGTCATTAGTCATTAGTGATGCTTATATATCTATTCCTAGTGGCCTATGAAACATGAAGATCACTGGTGTCATTATCATGACTCATGAGATATTGACTGACTTAATGCAGCACTGATGAAAAGTCAAAATTTTTACAGAACATTACTAGAAAGATTTGGTAGAAATCCACTCATAAGTCTGTTTTAATCTTATTAACTGTTGTCTAGATAAATGATATTTAAAAAAACATTTGAGAAAATGATGACATGCTTATGGAAATTAAAGGAAAAATATGAGGATGATGATTGGTATGTAAATATGAGTTACTGTTTATTTGAAAATTATAGTTTTCTTGCTGATTTAAATACTGTTTTTCAGGAATAGGTTATGCCTTAGCTAAAGAGTTTCTGAAAGCAGGTGACAATGTCTTAATATGCTCAAGGTCTGGTAAGTACAAGCTTGTTCAAATCTGAAATATTAGACTGATTATACATTTAAAAAAAATTGACTTGTCAACTTAGCCACATAGGATGACAGGTGTATGCCACATAGACAAGTAACAAAGGGAACAGTCAGAACTTTGTTGGTTGCCTAAATATGACATAAACCCTTAAAAATGTTAGTTATTTTTGAAAAGTAAACAAATTATAATGTTCCATTCTTCTTCTTGTTTCCATGAATAACTGTTGTGTTTGAATGGAAAATGATTATTAACTAACAAAATTTATACAGCTGAAAGGGTTGAATCTGCTCTTCAAACGTTAAGGACAGAATGTGGGGTCCAGCATGTGTGGGTACCTCTACTACCTAGAGATACTTTTGTCCATCATTTCCTTTTGTATTAATGTTTGACTTTTTTAACGTGTTACATTACATAGTACATAGTACATAGTACATACAATATCTCTAGTTTTATTGTATTTTTGTATTTTCAGGGTACAAAATGCGATGTTCGTGATGGAAATGATGTGAAAAATCTAGTAAAATATGCACAAGAAAACCTCCAATACATAGATATATGGGTAGTTTGGACTTTTATCACCATTTTTATTTCTTGCATTTAACCTTAAATATTACCATACTATTTAAACAAATGCAGATTAATAATGCGGGATCAAATGCATATAGCTATAAACCTCTAGCAGAGGCTTCAGACGAGGATCTTATGTGAGTGAGCTTTCTTCTTTCTTTCAACATTATTTCAATTACCACTTTTTTTTATTCGATAAATAAATAATTCCAATTTCAAAATCATCAGTGAAGTTGTCACGACAAACACACTTGGTTTAATGATCTGTTGCCGGGAGGTAAAAAAAACTTATATTTAAAAAAATAATAATAAAATAAAATCATGGATGATAGGTTTTTCTGTATATATTTTAGGCAATGAAAATGATGCTTAATCAAGGCAGAGGAGGACATATATTCAATATTGATGGAGCAGGTTCTGATGGAAGACCAACACCTAGATTTGCTGCATATGGAGCAACTAAACGTAGTGTTGTACATTTGACAAAATCATTACAGGTTTATTACCTTTTTACCCTTGTAACTTTTGTCTGGATAAAGTGTTGTATGGATATCTGTTATCATTCTGACATCATCCACTTTCTTTAATTATTCCTCAAGGCGGAATTACGTATGCAAGAAGTAAGCAATGTTGTTGTCCATAACTTATCGGTATGTTACACTTCTCTCACATATACCTATACATATACATATATGTATACCTATACATATACATATACATATATGTATACCTATACATATACATATACATATATGTATATGTATATTGAGTTTTTGATTTGCAGCCAGGAATGGTTACAACGGATCTTCTAATGTCGGGTGCCAATACAAAGCAGGTTTGATTTGTATTTGGATAAATTTATTCTTCTTTCCTATTTTGTATTATTCTTTTTTATAAAAACTAAATTTACGTTGTTGTAGGCGAAGTTTTTTATAAATGTTTTGGCGGAACCCGCAGATGAGGTAAATATTTTATAAAGAAAAATATTGGTTTCACCAATTTACTGCTACTAGGCTAAATATGTTTTCTTTTTTTTTTTTTAATTTGGATAAATAATGTTTAAAAAAATAATTGTGTAGGTTGCAAAGTACCTTGTCCCGAATATTAGATCAATACCAATGAGTGGATCAACAAGGCCAACTTACATTCGTTTTCTTACTGGATTAAAAGCTTACTCCCAAATTTTTACTGTAAGCAACAAACTAATACTCTCTCTATTCGGGTCGGGTTGATCCGGATATGGAAATATAACCCGACCCAAATACGAGACATGTTATAACATGGCCATGGGTTACTTGTTTTTTTTTTTGTAGAGATTGGCTTTTGGAGCTAGAAGAAATAGATACTTGGTTGAAGAATGAGGTCTTTGCAATTTTATACCGTTGAAAAAATTACAAAAATTGTTTATTAAACTTGTTTTAGAATGTAGTATATAGCTATAGTATTAAAAATGGTGTTGTAACTTGTATATTGTAACCGAAATTTTTGGTTTAAAAAAAAAATTGTAAACCATCATTTTTGCTTGGGGTTTTGGTTGCTTTCGGTTTCAGAAATCTTGTACGCTCTGATTAAAGAGATTTTAGATTTTGTGATGTAGTGAAAATAAGTAAATTTTGAAAATCATGTTGTTGGAAAAAAGTGGTTACTTTTTAGGACATAATTGTGTTTTCTTATTGTTATACTTCAAATTTGGTTGGTTTTATGACGTTGGGTTTTTTTAGAAGGGTAGGATATTGAAATCAAAATAATCGCGTTTGAAAAGTTTGTTATAAAGTCAGAAAAAAGTAGTTTGTACTTCTAAAAGTCACTGTAAAATGTCAATAATACAAAGTGGTTTGTTTGAAAATTTGATCTTTATGAAATTAAAGTGATGAATAGTAGATATCATTCATTCCTTTGAAAGTAATGGTACGTTCTATAAAAGTATAAAACCGAAACAGCAATCTTTAATATGTGTCATACAAAAGATGGCAAGGTCTGAAAAATAATTCAGTTTTAAATAGTTTGTTACGATACATGTTAAATTATTTATATACTCTTGCTCAACTTTAACAAAACTGCCTAACATAATACTATATGATTGATGTTAAATTATTCTTAATATAGTCTTGAATTCCTAATCTTAATTAAGTTCGTTGTAATTAAATTTAATGAGGTGCTTTTATAAAATAAAACGATAAATGAATTTTATTTACAGTTTATGAATTTATGAACATGTTTTTAGTTTTTACAATTGGTAGCACTGAGTTTAAACAAATTTTGAATAATTGCGCTCCAACGTTCGAAACGGTACAAATAGACTTGGGGGACTCGTGAAACCACGCTCATGTGAATCCATTGAAAGTCAAGCTCCCCCTCAATTTTCAAACATTTTTCACTTTTTACCCCTAACCCAACCAATTTCAATTCCAACCCATCATCTTTGGATTTTATTGCTTCTCAACAGAACCCGTATCACTCTTGGTTTTTTCATAAATTAGATTTGTTTTGATGCAGATAAAAAAAAAGTCCAACTATTAACAAAAAATTAATAATTTACACCAAACGTTTTGAAAATAAAATTGAATACCTTTTTACCTATATCCTATCAATCTCTTCATATTTTTTCCTCTTAATATATCACAATGTTTAATAACCTGACCACATATAATCACAATATATAACAAACTTTTGAAACAAAAGAGAAAATTGACGAGTTTACTTCCATATTATAGCTACAAAAATAGCATGCTAAGGGTACAAAGTGAAAGTAACCTAAAGTTGAGGGGTGTTAAAAGTAATTTATAAACCAAATCTTCTTATAATGTCATGTCATTGTTCCCCCTATAAATAAGGGGACATTCTCCAAAACAATATCATATTGTTCTTTTTCATCATTACGAGAGTGCCTTCTTCTCTAAGTGAAAAACAGATAGATTTTAAACCTTTTTCACACCCCTTTTTAATATTTTTGCCTATACACTTTCATATCCGACTCTTGAAATCCCAATACCCATCATTTATTTCCATCAACCAAATCAAACCCACATCAAAAAATGCCGAAACCTTCATGGGTTTTCAAAATCTTGACCATTTTGTCCCTGTTCCATCTCTCACAAGCCCAAACTACCCCTTCATGTTCAGAAGTCGATAGGGCAGCCCTTATTGGATTCAAAGCCAGAATCTTTAAGGATACTTCCGGTATTCTGTCATCTTGGGTAGGCAAAGATTGTTGTTCAGGAGACTGGGTAGGTATCCAGTGTGACGCAGTCACAGGGAGGGTGACTGGGGTTGTTTTACAAGGATCATCTGGCAATAATGCCCTTTACATGAAGGGTATCATTTCTCCTACTTTAGGTGAGTTAAAGTTGTTGAAGGTTTTAGTGATCAGTGGGATGAAGAAGCTATCAGGGGTAATCCCGTCAAGTTTTTCAGGTCTTATACATCTTCAACAACTTGTGTTGGAAGACAACTCACTTAAGGGAACCATCCCTGTAGGTTTAGGACAACTGAAGTCACTCCAGACTCTCTCATTGAGTGGAAATTACCTAACTGGCCCTCTCCCTCAAACCTTAGGAAACTTGAAAAACCTTCTTCAGATAAATTTAGCAAGAAACTCGCTTTCGGGTACCTTAAAGTTTCCAAATTTAGGAAGTTTGGAGTATCTTGATTTAAGTTACAATATGTTATCAGGCACTATCCCTACAGTTTTAGGACTCCAGTCAAACATGACGTTTCTTGACCTATCGAATAACCGTTTTTCAGGTCAGATACCCGATTCCTTATGTAACTTAAAGAATCTTGTAGACTTGTCTTTAAGCAACAATTTGCTGACTGGACAAGTGCCAGCTAGGATAGGTCAGTTAAAGTCTCTTTCTACCTTATCCCTAGGTTTCAACATGCTTGTAGGTCAAATCCCCGATTCTGTTTCAAATTTACAAAATCTATGGCAACTTAATGTCTCTAGAAATCAGCTTTCGGGTCCTTTGAGTGGGGTGTTATCAAAGGGTATCCCTTCGTTATTGTCTATAGATCTTTCTTACAATAAGTTTAATCTTGGAAGTGTTCCTAAATGGATTACAAGTCGACAGCTGTCAGATGTGCATCTAGCTGGATGTAATCTCAAAGGGGTTTTACCAATCTTTACAAAACCAGAGTCATTGATCTCCATAGACTTTTCTGATAACCATTTTACAGGAGGGATATCTGGTTTCTTGAAGAAGATGTCTAGCTTACAGAAGCTCAAGATTTCAAACAACCAGCTAAGGGTAAATCTGTCACAAATGGTGTTACCAAATGGGCTTGGGTTTCTTGATCTGCATTCAAATCAACTTTTTGGGTCGCTATCAGGAGTTTTATCTAAAGGTGGTTTCTTGGAGTACATTGATCTTTCAAGCAACCAAATTTCAGGGAATATTCCTAGTACAATCACGAATCTTGGAAACCTTAAAAGGTTTGATATTTCAAGGAATCGTGTAACAGGAACAATTCCTCCAAGTTTGGGGAGTTTGTCAAAGTTAGGGTGGTTGGATATATCGAGCAATTTGATTGGAGGAAAGATACCTGTGAGTTTGTTGGTGATTAAGCAACTAGGGCATGTTAACTTCAGGGCAAATAAGTTATGTGGAGAAATCCCACAAGGAAGACCATTGAATGTGTTTCCATCAGCTGCTTATGCGCATAATCTTTGCTTATGTGGCAAACCGTTGCCGCCATGTAAGCAAGGTTAAAGTTAAACCACGTGGCGACTTGGGCCAGCAAGATGCTGACTCATTATGATGTTATTTGTTTTTTGTTTTAGTTTAGTTGGTGGGAGTAATAAATCATGGTAAAGTTGTAGCCAAATGTTTGTTGAATTCAAAATGAAATATAAAACAAAATCCCTTTGAGTAATGAGTGGAACTACTTTTATTATTACAACAAGATCAAAGTTTTTACATACCATTTCTTCAGTATTTGATTCCTTCCTTGAAGATGAAGCAGCTTCATCATCATCACCTACCATTTGATTTACATCCTGTAAAGCAAATGAGCACAGGTCATATTATCATATATTCATCAAGTGGGCATTAAAATATGAAATTTAAAAGTGGAAGAAACAAAGGAGTTCAAACCAATCAATAGAAGTGACAGGCTAGATTATTTCTAAACAATTATCAGTTTTTTTAGAAGCATATATATAGATAATTATATATTACTTAGAATAATAGAACTTCTAATTTGAGTTACAAATTATCAAAACGTTGAATACCTCTGATACAAATTTCTATGAAACATCATCATATGCCCAAGCCTGTTAATTTTGACTTCAACGCTGCAATTGTGCATAATCATCTCCAGGACTTCAATGTAGCATATTTTTCTTTGAAATTAAGATCGGTGCTCTGAATATTTCAAAAGTATGATTAAATACCTTTGCAGACCTAAAAGAAGGTGCTGCACCTTTTACCTACAATATCAAAGTTGTAACGTCCCGAATCCTAAATTGAAACACATAATATCTAGGTTTTTTGGTAAGAACTTTAAAACACCATGTGCGTTCAAATTAGGAACAGCACCACAAACTGATTTATAATAATTGTCACAAATCCATACAATTTTTTCATCAAATCAGAATTGTTTTCACATCAGATCTACATATTTTTATACCGCCGTGTAAAAGACTAGAAACGCTGCCATTTTTTGCCCGTTTGTTTGAACCGGAAGTAGTCTCTACATCAATCTTCTTAACTTTCTTGCTCGCAATGCGTTAACGGATCTTGAAGAACCATCGTCGCCGTGCACAGTTGCAAAAACCTTCTGTGTTTGTGTGTGAGAGAGATGGAGGGGTTTGTTAACGGAGACGCTCCAGTATAGGGATTTTATGGAAACGAAAAAAAGTTCGGGATTTGGCGCGAAAAGTATATAAAGAGAATGCGACGCGCGTTCAAAATTACTGATCATGCGACTAGATGCATAAAGTTTTGTCGGATTAATATTATAAAAGTCTATATTTTTATCGTATAATTCGAAAAAATCCTTAGATATTTTTTTTATTATTGTTGTGGTCATAACTTTTTCGTAGAATTATCATTCTAGCCCACTTAACGAGTTTCATGGTTAAGTTGGTTAACTTTTTTGTAAAATCAATCCCAAAAAGTTTAAATTTAGTCCCTGAGGTTTGACAAAAACTACACCATATGGGTTTTTAAATTTCTTTTTCGTTTTTTTTATACTTTATTTATTTTCATTTTTTTTATAAATATATATACATTTTTTATTTTCTTTTTTATATATATTTTACTTGTTTTCATTTTTTAGCTTTATTTTTCAACAATTTTTCTAAACCTGTTGACCTTTTGTTTTCTATTTTTTAGTGTATATATATATAGAGTATATTAGAGTTTTTTTTTTTAAGTTTTTTCATATTTCTTTTCGTATTATATTTTATTTTTTTCATCTTTTTATTATTTTTATTTTTTTTCTTATTTGTTTTCCAATTATTTGTTTTTTTTTATTTTTATCTTTTTATTGACATTTTTCAAAAAATATAAAATATATTAATATATTAGAGTATATTACAATTTTGATAATTTATAGTTTTTGTAATTGTTTTTTTATTTTTATTCAAGTAAATAAAGTAGTTATGTTTATATTGTAATTTCGATCCAACTTATTTTCTTTTTTTTTTCGTTATTGCTATTATATTTATGTTACGAAAAAATGAAAATTAAAAAAAAATATAGTTTGTTTACTAGGAATTAGTGTTTCAGTGTGTTATATAACTTGCAAATTAAATCATATTTCTAAATGTGATATCAATAGATTAAATTCAAGATAATATTTTTCAATTTGATAATAGAGTAAAAAATACAAAAAAAACATAATAATAATAGTCGATCTTTATAAAAAAAAAAAACTTGTTACAGTACTTTATATTGAATTCAAGTTCGTTTACTTGAATCAAAGGAAATAAAAACATTAGAAAAACCATAAATATTAAAATAGAAAACAAAAATTGTAATATGAAAAAACCTTAGAAAAACCATAAATAACAAAAAGTAGAAAAAATATAAAAAAAAAAAAGGTGAAAAAAATAAAATATAATAGGAAAAATAAATATGAAAAAACCTAAAAAAAAAAAAAAAAAAAAAAAAAAAAAAAAAAAAAAACTATAATATACTTTATATATACACTAAAAAATAGAAAACAAAATGTAAAAAGTTTTTAAAAAAAATGTTGAAAAATAAAGTTAAAAAATGAAAATAAATAAAGTATATATATATATATATATATATATATATATATATATATATATATATATATATATATATATATATATATAAAGAAAATAAAAATGTACATATATTTATAAAAAAAACCGAAAATAAATAAAGTATACAAAAAAGGAAAAATAAAGTTAAAAAACCATGTGGTGTAATTTTTTTCAAACTTCAAGGATTAAATTTGAACTTTTTAGGATTAATTCTGCAAAAAAAAGTTAACCAACTTAACCTTGAAACTCGTTAAGTGGGCTAGAGTGATAATTCTGCGAGAAAGTTGTGGCCACAACAATAATAAAAAAATATCAAGGTTTTTTCCAATTATACGTTAAAAATTTAAGGCTTTTATAATATTAACCCAATTTTCTCGCACCATGTATTTTTAATGATTTTTAATAATATTAATAATTTCACCTAATTATATTCTCGAGAGTTTGAAATGCAACAACCATATGAAAAGCAAAGAAACTTATATTATATGCTGACACATTTAACACTATATCAAATTAAAACTTATATTATTAGTTTGGCAGTTTCAGCTAGTTTATTGTATTTACAATGATCAACGAACGAATTTACAAAAAAAATATTAAAAGAATAATAGAGTGGGCAACTCTTTTAAGATTGATATTATATGTACATTTTCATTCATATAAATTATTAAATCATAGGGTACATACACTCACCAACGCCGATAGGTTACACAAAACAATTGGGATACATATAAAATTAACTATCATTTAATCTTGTAAAAAAAATTAAGAAATTTAGCAATATAACATGAATCTTCGCAACTGGTTTGCGGCTTTGGCCTTTTCCTGCAAAATGGGCAAATGCATGTAATTGATCCGGTGATCCAAGTTCTTAAGGGTGTTTGGTAAAATAGTTTGTAGCGGGTAACGAATAGCTTTTAGCTGGTAACGTTTTATTAAATGCTACGTAAAATAACATTTGGATTTTTAGCATTTTCTTTAAACTAAACGCTAGAAGCTTTTAGTGTCAAACGAAAATTCAAAGCGAAGCGTTTTATCAAATACTAGAAGCTCTCAAACGCTTCCAAACGTTCCGTATTTATTTTGCTTAACAAGTTAATTCATAATTACTTATAATTGAAAATATCTTAGTTTTTTTTACATTTGTTTTTATCTATATAAAAAGTTTTAATATATCAACCGTGATTTCTACATATTATAATCTAGTCTTCTCTAATAAATGAAGGTTTTTTTTGCCACTAATCATACTCTTATTCATTTTGCCACATGTTGTTTTGTGGTTATTTTCAATTAATTTTTATTTTATATGTAATTTTGTGGTTTTCCTATTTTGTTAAATTTCATATGGTATTTAAATTTAATAATAAATGTATATCAATTTCATTAATAGACTTTCCTTATAACTTCAAAATCTTAAAATAAAATCTCATTAATTTGCTTTGATTATTTTATCTAAATGGTTTGTTTAAATTTAAAAGAGAAAAAAAAAAAAAAAAAAAAAAAAAAAAAAAAAAAAAAAAAAAAACACTTTAATTTTAGTAATTCAATATTTTTCTTATTTTTCATATAAATTCAAATTTCTCAAATGTTTATACATATTTAATTATTTTAAATACACCTATCCTAATTCTAATAAATAAGTAGAACTCTGCCACGTGTCAATCTATAAGACCTCCAAAATAGAGTTTTCCCGCTCATTTTATTCATCTATATTTACGTAAATGCCATACAATCCAAAATCAATAATTCCGGAAAAATCTGCAAACAAATATGTTAATCAATCTTCAGATTCGAAAAACACGCATTAATTTTGAAAGTTTGTTTATTTTGATTGCAAATTAAATCCCTAAAAATCTGCAATATTTATCTTTTTCAAACGTAATCTTCTTAATTCTTATTCTTATTTATTCAAACGTAAATAGCATTCATACGGTTATTTTCTTTTTACCATTCTGCTCCAGACGAATTCTGCTCCATAGTAATATTTGCAAACGTATTCTTCTTCATTCTTCTTGATTCTGCAACGCTTCAAAAATTATAATATCAGGTTAGTGTATTAAAAATATCAGCATTACTAATATTTCTAACCTCTTAATTGTCTGATTTTACCAGTTTCTATCATTTTTCATTTTATTAGTGATGTTCTTCTTCTTCCTTTTGCTAATTCTTCTTAATCATGTTCTTCTTCTACCTTTTCAGTTTAAAAGACGTAAATGTTAATGAAAATGATTACAAAATACGAAATTAGTAATAAAAATGAGAACTTTATTTTCTTTAAAAAAAAACTGTTCTTCAAAGCTTTAACTATTACAATATGTTTTTTTGTTTTGCTGTTTCATTTACTTTGATTTGCTGTTAATTTAAAAGGTTGCTAATTTTCGCCCCAATTCCAAAATCAAATAACAGATCCTTCGTATGATTCATTTAATAACCAAGGCTTCTTTTACTTCAAATGACCATATTGCCCCTAACTTG